ACCACATTTCTTTAAATTTGAAAGGTCATTTTCTCCTTTCTTGTTCCCTTTCAGTATTGACACGCATAGGAGCATTATTAGATCCAATGGTGCAAAGCACTCTATAAAGAGAGAGTCACCATACTAATCAAGCCACTTTTTGTTGCACACTGCTCTGTCTAGCCTACCCCTTATTAAGTCTAAACCTTCCATTTTATTTGACCAAGTGAACACAAGTCCGTGACTCTTAATTTCCAAGAGTCCACAATCCTTTAGGACACTTCTATTGTTCCTTAGATAGGAATCACTACAAGGTTTGCCTCCTTATTTCTCATTATTATGAAAAGTTAGATTAAAGTCTCCAACAAAAAGCCAAGGTTCAATTACCTTATGGGCTAGATTTTTCCACTTTTTTTAAAGGCCTTCCTATATGCTTTTTTGGGTTCACCATAAACAAAGGAGCAACAACAACAACTAGATCGATCATCTAGTTTTAGCTTAATATGAAAGAAGTTTTTATCTACAAACAGAACTTTTACATCTAAATTTACCACCTGATGATGCGCATTTCGACAGTTCCCGGCTGGCATGTGACTCGGATGCCTAGTTGAACAATCCCTACTTGGAATGTGGTTCAAATGCCTAGTTGAACAGTCCCTACCTGGAATATGGCTTGGACGCCTATCTGATTGGTTCCTAGCTGGAAGGTGGTTCGGATGCCTAGTAGAATGGTTCCTAGCTGAAAGGTGGCTCGGACACCTAGCTGAATGGTGACAAGTTGGAAGGTGTCTTAGATGCCTAGTTGAATGATGATGAGTTGTATAACTTATTGGGACGACCTACAAGGAAACAGTGTCAAAGTGCTCAGGTTGCTTTACCTGGGGTGGGCACTCCGATGCTTAAGTCAACAAACTGAAGATTTTTTGAGAGAGAGCTAAAAGCAAGACAGAGAGTTGCGAGAGCTAAATTGCGCATCTACCTTTCGAGGTTGGAGGTAAGGCCTTTATATAGGCATTGTTTGGCATGGGCTTCACGCATCACGTCTGAGATCTCCGGGAAGATGTGCTTAACTGATATGAAGTTCTCGAAGATAGTCGTGCATGTAGACTAGTCTTTGCGCTTTATTCAGTTCCTTCGGAACATTCGGTGTGGTAACTAACTTCCGAGAGACCCGGGAGTGACAAGATGCATGCAGTGTTGGTTGGCGAGCACATCTCGTAGGTCGCCACCTGGACCTCAATCAGGTCGGCAAGCCCTCGAGGGAGGTCGCTCCTCACGTTGAGGTCACTTCAATCGGTACTGACGAGGTACCACAGGTCGGCCCTAGACGAAGTGCTACTAGTCGTGCATGTTAGGGTGCCTGAGTTGTTAACGAGGTTGCCAAGTCGGCGAAAGCAGGTCACCAAGTCGGTAGTAGAGGCAGGTCGCTAGGTTAGCAACAAAGGCAGGTCACCAGGTCGGTAGAGGCAAGTCTCTAGGCCGGTGGAAGAGGCAGGTAGGTCACCAGTTGGGACCATCATTTTGGCTAAGGAAAGTCATTGCCTAGGTGATACCGGGGTATCATCCAGTTGTTCTGAGATGTCATATGTCATGATGTCAGTGGAGGGCCAAATCTGCTCTCATCACCACCCTTTGACAAAATTTAGAAGTTTATTACAATTCAGCAAAGAGGTTTTCGTTTCTAATAAAAAAATGAAGTCAACTTTTTCTTTTGCTTGGATCTCTTTTAAAGCTAAAATTGTCAAGGGGGATCCTATCTCTTGACAATTCTAAGCAATTAACTTCATTTTCCACTTGGATCTTATTGCAGGAAATGATCCACAACCCACTTATTTTCTAATTTATTTTTAATTTGCAAGAGGAGAGGATAGGTCAGTTCTTTACCACCTACTAAAACCTTAAAAAATCCACACAAGTCAAGGTAGTCAATAGCTGCTCCCATACTTTAGGAGGATTTTTTGATCCTTCAGCAACCATCCTTGTTTTCTTTTTCTTTTTTTTTTCTAGGCCATTTTTATTACTTTTGTGGTCATTAACCCAAACTTTTTTTTCCACTTTGTTCAAAACCCACCACAAGGCAGTCCTAGTTTTGTTTGCTTACTATTGTGAGTATTTACCATCAAAGCTAATTTTTTGTATTGAACATTTTTCCAATTTTTCTTGACCATCAGCTATCAGTTCCTTTTTGCAAATCCTAAAAAAATGTAAAAGGTAGATGGAAATTCATACAGCAGAATGGAAGCTAGGATGAACTTTTACTTACCTATTCGGATTGCACCTCACCCATTGCAAGGTCGTACTTATATCCTTCCATATCTGCATTTGATTTTCGCTCTTGGAAGATGCCTTCCACCTCCATTGCATCATTGAGATTTCCGAAAACTTCTATATTGTTTGCAAGAAAAGCTCCAGTGTCGAAGTGAAAATTCAAACCATCTTCATCTCCTCCCGAACTCGAAAGGTTACCCAAGAGATATCCATGTCCGCCAACTTTGCTTGAGCTCGTTTTCTGCTTCTTGGGCGGGCCTCCTCCATTAAGGATGCACTGGTCCATACTCATTTATGGCATTTCTCTGATGACAACTTCGGTTGACCTCTTTTTTGCCCCTACCCAAGTCTCTTCCTCATGCGTGTCAACACTACCAACTACTCCTTTGCCTTTCTTTTTCTTAATTAATTTTTGTTGATTTTCCTTGTCATCACAGTCCTCAATGGACTCTTGTATTGTATTCCAGCCACCTTCCATATCCTTTTCTATCGCTTCAAACTGAACCAAAATCTGATTTCAATCTTCCATCCTCGTGTCAGAGTTGTAAACCCAAGTCCGATGTGACACAACCTGACTTTCCATCTCCGTCTTCTTGGAGCTCCATTCCTACCCACAGTTTTGTCAGCTAGTTTTCTCCAGTGAGAAAACCTTCCAAAATTCTTTCTCACTGGTCAGTAAGGATTTGATTTTTTGATGTCTTGGAACAAGCTTCTTCTCACTGAATGACGGCAATAGCTTGACTTTTGTCGCTTTAATTTTTGTTGTTACCACCGGTGGTTCCTTCAGCATTTCCAGGATTCTTGTTCATTTCTTCTACAGCTCCCTTTCTTTTGTTTATAAACCTCATATTTTCTTTATTCATTGGAGCTCTAAAAACGGAGTTATAAGAAACTATTCCCCCGATATGACTAACAAAGCTATACTCCATTTGTTGGATGACATGTTCCAATGCTTTGTTCTCAGAGACGTAGATACAGTTAATTTCTTAATGACCTACGTGACCACATCTCGTACAGAAGATTGGAAGCCTTTCATTGGAAAGCATACCAAACTAATGTTCCATCTTCCTCAACATCCAAGTTTCCTAAAGGCAAAGTGTTTTGGATATGTAGCCTAATCCTTATGCAATAGTGTTGTTCCCACATCGGGTCATCATCTTCCGAGTCGCAATCCTCCTTTTCTTCCTTTAGTGGAGTACCTGCATAATTGACTAACTTAGCACCCCAGCCCCAAGTTCTTTTTTTCCATTGGAGCACCCACTATTCTAACTGTGATTGCCATCTCAGAGAACTCCATGGATTTCGTATCTGCCCTTGGATGCCACCGCTTAAACAACTACAACTCTTATTGATAAAGAATTCTACATCTTTTTCATTCTTGAATAGGATCCAATGATCCATAGAACCTTGTCGCCAATCCATTCTACTTCATACTTTATGTTTCCCTACAAGCTTTTAACTTTCTGTTGTACCTCATACGCATTCATCTGTTTATCAGAGACAACTTTCCCAAATAAAGCCTTTGCACACCTTTCTTCTAGTGATTTTTTCTTCTTCTTTTTGTTATTTTCAAGGATCTCCACTCTTCCTTCAACCTCCATTATTATATTTGAACGCAAGGAAAAGAGAACAACAGGATTCCGCTCAAGGGTTAGCATAAGTAGCAAAACCGCTCGAGATTTTAATCATCATTCCTTGTAACTAAAAGTTTAAAACTGTCTTTAACAATAATTGTGTTTAAAATTGTCTTGAAGTTGATAATTGTCTTTTCGAAAGTATTCAAGAATTTTCATATCTCATCATCTACTTGTCATAACAATGCAGAGTGTCGCATTTCAAAAACATATGGGATATACCCGTACATTAATTGACCCAATAGTATTTTTAATTGGCCCTATCAAAATATTTGTATTTTTAAGGGAAAATTCCAATTTAATGCCCAAACATTCAAATGTGTCACAGCAGTATCTAAATTTTCAAAAAAGTATTAAGTTGGTCCTTGCTAACCAACCATCAGTTATTTGTTGAGAATGTCAAAACTACCTTTTAAAGAAGACATTGTTCACTGTCTTCTACCTTGAGACTGAACCAGTTGAGATTTTGAGATTCTAGATTAATGAAGTCATTGTCTTTTACCTTTAGATTTAAAACACATTAGTGTCTAATTATTTTTTTGATTTCAGTTATTGTTTCCCTCTACATATTTCATGTTTTTTCTCTTTTTTTCTTTGAAGATAACCGGTTCAGTCTCAAGGTAAAAGATAATGAATAATATCTTATTTTGAAGAGTAATTTTGACAATTTAATAAAGAACCTATAATTTAAGTACTAACTTGACTCTACCTCTAAAGTTCAGAGTATTAAAGTGAAATTTTCCCTATTTCTAAATTCCTTTTCCAATGCAACAATTTCTGTTTCTAAAATTTAAAGTGGGTGTGGCAAGTGCAAGAACTCTTTGATCAATCAAAACGCAATTCCAATCACTTGCCAACAAAACACCTTCCAACCCTCTATCAACATAATCTCACACCGCATCTTATACATAATAGATCCCACTTTTATGGATGTCTTGTTCGCAGAATATCTCAACTCATCAAAACTTCGCTAGAAAAAATCATAACGTGGCTGATGGTAGTTACCGATAATTTCCGTAAATTTTACCTGACACCTGGATGATCTTCATTGGTTAATGCACGTGTCCAGCAGTCACGAACATAGTCTTTTACAACAAGAACTAAGGGATCTCCAGAGGTTTTGGTTTTTTATTCTGAACTTTGGCCGCGAAAGGAAGTGTATTTGAGTGAAGAAAAGAGAGACAGAGTCACAGAGAGGATGTCTCCGCCATTACCACCATTGATCGTTCTCTTCTTGTTCTTCGTCCAGCTCGGAGCTCGCGTGGATGCTCTCTATGGACCCTCATCTCCTGTTGTTCAGTTAAATCCTTCCAACTTCAAGAACAAGGTAATTGATCGACACTTTATCATTATTTCGTTGCATTTTCATACCATATATCAACACTTATATTGCATAATAATTCAGAACAAAAAAGAAAAAGAAATTTACGCACCCATTGGAGGAAAAAAGTGACTTAATTTTACGTCAAACTTATCACTACCCCATTCGATGAAATAGTAGTTCATCCATTTTCCATATAATGGTTAGCTTTTTTTTTTTTTTTTTTTAATTTTTTTTTTTTTTTGTAATGTTTAGATCTGGATTTTCTGTGACATTTCTGATTTTGGAATATGGATTTTCGTTCCTTTTTTATTGTTAATTGCTATTTGTGTGTCTGACCATTTCTATTTAGACTTTAGCGATGCCGTGAATTTAGAAGTGGTGGACTGGTAGTTATTTTCCTATATTCAATGATGCATTGTCGTTCTTTTTTGTATTTATAAACAAGGAAAAATGTTGCCCAATTATAACATAGCACATAACTCCTACTGTGGCACTGACGCCACTATTAATTATTCAAAAACATATCTCGAGTTACCAGTGGTGGTCGGGCTGACAGACTCCTACTGCTTGTAGTTTTTGGCACTGACTTTATAAAAAATAAAGTGATGATTATATCCAATTCATCTGAGTTGGGAATAATCTGCAAGAGGTATTGTAAAGAAAATATAGAAAGTACCATACTGGTATACTCTCTGCAGTCTGTATTACACGCTTGACTTTGTTCTGTAAATTGTTCTTTGGTTAAGGCATCTAAACTGAATGATGATAGGAAGATCATCTAGCCTTCAATGCTATGATGTTTTGTAATTGAAACCCAGAATGGTGACAGGTTTTGAATTCAAATGGAGTTGTTCTGGTTGAGTTCTTCGCACCATGGTGTGGCCACTGTCAAGCTCTGACGCCCACATGGGAGAAGGCAGCAACTGTATTGAAAGGTGTAGCCACTGTAGCAGCTCTTGATGCTGATGCACACAAATCACTTGCTCAGGTTTGGTATACAAAACTTTCTGTATATTGATTTCAACCAAAAACAAGATTTTGTTTTTAAGTGCCATAATCTAGGGATTTTGTCATACTCTTTTATCAAGAGATTGGAGATTGTGGACTGGTTGTATATGGTGACGACGATAGAGAAAAATGGCAATGTGTTTTAACTTTTCTGGATTTGTTCTTCTAATGCAAATTCAGGTGCAATTCTTTCAGCAAGTGGTGTTTCTAGATGATAAGAAAAAGAAAAGAGTTGTAAGTTGTAAGAGAGAGGAAATGAACAGTTAATTAAGGTATTTTGAAGGAGAAACCAAGGTTGACCTTGAATTTATGAAATTTGGAGGTTAAAAATGGAATTGGGCCCTCTAAATTGCAGATGTTTGGGTTGATTACAGGTTGTGAATTAGAAATGGATGGGTGTTTAAGGGACAACTTGACAACTTTTATTTATCTGAGTGGATTTTAATCCGTTCTCTGGGTAGTCATTTTGGAATCCCTCTCTTGGGTGTTTGGAATCTTTAGGGTAGGTAATCATTTTGAAACCCTTTTCTTGGTTATAACCATAGTTGTCAAGGCGATGCCTAGGCAGGCGCCCTTTGAGGCTCGCCTCGCCTAATTGCCAAGTACTTTTTTACTCTCTACTATAAAATACTTTTTTTTTTCATTCTTTTTTGAGATCATAATTATAAAATAGACATTATTAAACTAAAATAATCATTTTGTGAGTTTATATTCTAATTTCTTTTTATTATTTTCTTATTTATTAGGGTTTAATTAGCACAAACATTGCTAAATGCTGTATTGAACCCTCAAAGACTTCAAAACCTGAACCAATAAGTAAGGAAGAACTTAAAATTTTATTTAATCAGCACATTTTCTCATTTACTGAGAAATCAGTCAATTTGGTGCTTGTAATGGGAGTCCCTCAGGCCTGCCTGGTTGTTGGCAGGTTCTATTTTGTACTTTTATGAGTTTGATCTAATAAATTTATCTTACCTTTTTCAAAAATAAAATCAGCACATTTTCTTCTTCCATATATTCTTCTTCTACTTCTTCCTCTTCTTCTTCTTCTTCTTCTTCTTCTTCTTCTTCTTCTACTACTACTACTACTGTTACCAATACTTTTTCTTTTCTTCTTTTCCCATAACAAAAATAAGGGTTCAGCCCCTATATTTTTTGAGTTTTATTTTTCTTCTTTCTCTTCTCATAAATATGTTGATTTTCTATACTTTAATATGAACTTTATACTTTTCTTTTGAAAATTGTGAATAATTATTAAGGAAATATGGTTATGGTACCTAGGTAACTAACCTAGGATCTATATTTTTAACATAAAAAATCCATAGGCGACAAGGCAATCCCCTTCGCCTTGGCGCCTTGAAAACTATGGTTATAACCTGTAGAATCTATTTCTATTTCCATGGCCTGATCTAGCTGACTGCTTCAAACAAACTGGTTAGAAAGAGAAAAAAACTACCTAGTTGCCTTGTTCGTAGTTCAAATGCAATCAGACAGAAGAAATAAATAAATAAAATGACAAGTCAGTAGAAAATCTTCACCTCAATTTTTACAACTGTTACAAGATCATTTTTTTGGAAAAATATTATTTGATTGGGACAAGATGAACTTTTCTATTGCCTAATGCTTTTAGCACTTTGGTGATGTCTATGCGATAGTGGTTGCTTTGATTGTGGTGGAGTTATGGAGATGCAAGGGATCTCAAGCAAGGAAAGAGGTCTTTTTTTTGTTAAGTCAGGGAAAGAGATATTTTGAAGTAATATACATAAAAGATACACTAAACACAAACTAGCAAACAGGACCATGCTATCAAAAGTAGAGTTCATGGGCTGATCACCCTTGCCATCAGGAGTGGAGCTAGGATTTTTTGTTAGGGGGCCAAAAGCTAATAAATATGGATTGGGGAGGGCAAAAGTGTTAATAAACATAAGTGGGGGAGCAAAATATAAGGTAGATATAAATGGGGGGGGGGTGTGGGGATTTTTAAGGCAGGGGGCATGGCTCCCCTCCACCACCCCTTGACTTCGCCCCTGCTTGCCATAATCATTGTGTTGATGACTGGAGTTTTATGCTTTACTTGATATGGAGTTTTTCTTTTTCTTTTTTTTTTGATTTTTTCCTTAATGAGCCAGTTGTCGAGAGATATATTGTATTTTGGTTTTTGGAGGTTACAGGTGTATATTTGTAATGCTGATAAAGTTTTTGATACTCGTATGTATTTATGGGAGGAAGAGGGGCCTGTGTGAAAATTTTGTATAATTTATCCTTTTGCTTATTTAAGCCATTGGTTGTGTGGGATCAGGGTTGACTGAGAGTTGATATTTTGTTGTGAGTCTGTAGAAAGGTCGGCCATGGATCTTTTGTTCTCATAGTGGATATTTTTCCCTCTCTTCCCGTGGATGTAGGCTACCGAGCCGAACCATATTAAATCTTGGTGTTTTCTCTATTTCCTCTTCTTATTTTCTTCTTGATTTGTTATTCTGTTTTATGTTACTTGACATGGCATTGGAGCAAGTTTAGTGTGGGAATTAGTTCGGTGAACTAAGGAAGGCTAGCAATCGAATTACTATTCGAGACTACTGTTCACGTGAGGTCTGTGGTGCTTGAATCTATGAAGCAATCAGTTAGGGACTTTTACCATTCAATGAAGAATATTTGTGATCATTTTTCATCATTTTTCTAGAATTTTACTAGACTCTGAAAGGGGTGATATTGTTTCTTGTTGCTTCTTTTAGAAACCAGGAAAAAGTAACATCTGATTTGGATTTTCTTTTGGTTCTTTCATACTTGGTGGAATCTAGAGTTGAGCTTTTAGAGTTCAAGTCGTTTTTATATGAGAAAGAAGATCAAAGGATCATTTGGGCAAGGAAATCTGATCTGGTTGGTATATTAGAGCATCTTCCAGTGCTTATTTTTAAAGCTATTAAAGCTTTATTTAGATTTTTCTCTTTTGTTGGATCTCTGGAAGGATTCCCTCTATGAAAGGATTTATGTTTTCCCTCCTCATCTTGTGGGTTATGTTCCCTATTATCTGAACTAGTTCATATCTTCAAGCAAATTCTGATTTCTATGTTGCATATCAATTATTTGATTTATTGTCTAAAAGGTTGGTTCATGGTTGTTGGTCATTTAGCCAAGTTTGGTGTTTTGTTTGGGAGCTCTAATTTTCCGAAAAAGTATTATAGAAACTCTGCAACTTCTCTGGTCTATTTATGATCATCAATATCAGCATGTGATACTGGAGCTCAAGGTGACTATTTGGTGTTCAAGAAAATGTCTCAATGGTGCAAATTTCTATAATGATTCTCCATTGTTATGATCAGTTTTGGTCTGATCTTGTTTGTCTTGGTTTGGTATTTAGACTATTTTGGTGAATGATGAATCTATTATAATCGATCAATATCTAGTTTGTTTGCCTCATACATGTTTTGCATGGAAGATGTTTGACGAAATGTTTCAGCAATGATCTTTTATTATGCTCATAATTTTTAAGTTATTGTTGAAGAAATCCTTGGAGTTTTGGTCTCCTTCGGTGACATGGGATTTTGATTCACTTTATCTAGTTGGCTTTTCGATTGGCCAACTCCCATTCCTCAGTTTGGTTTATGGAGTTCATAGTTTGCTTTCCATTAATGAACTCTGAATCTTTCCCCTAGCCAACTCTGTTTTGGTAATTCTGTTGGTATTTTTTATGATCTAGTTGTTTGGCATGGTTGGTTCTTCAGTTCGGAGATTGTGATTGATCTTTTGATGGCTAAATTTGATTCTTTGGCATGATATGTGTTGGCTTTCCCTTGGCCAACTTCAGTTTGGTGATTACTAAATCATGACTTGGCTCTACTTTGGCTTTCCGACATGAGTTCATTCAGCTTTCTAACATCTAGCTTTGGTTTCTAAGAGGCCCCTTCAACGTCTCAAGTTTAATGGTTACTGCTTCAACAGTACACCTATTTTCGTGGAGGTTGCTTTGACATCCTTCTTGCAAACTCAAGCTGGTTTCCCCACCTTGAGTTTGAGGGAGGGTGTCGAGAGATGTATTTGATTGTATTTGGGTTTTTGGAGGTTACAAGTGTATATTTGTAATGTTGATAAATTTTGGGACTTGTATGTATTTATGGGAGGAAGAGGGGCCTATGTGAAATTTTGGTATAATTTGGCCTTTTGCTTATTTAAGCCATTGGTTGTGTGGGATTAGGGTTGAGTGAGAGTGGATATTTTGTTGTGAATCTGTAGAGAGGTCAGCCATGTATCTCTTGTTTTCATAGTGGATATTTTTCCCTCTCTTCCTATGGATGTAGGCTACCGAGCCGAACCACATTAAATCTTGGTGTTTTCTCTATTTCATCTTCTTATTTTCTTCTTGATTTGTTATTCTGTTTTATGTTAGTTGACACCAGTAAGCACATCTTGCTCTATTCTTTTTCTCTCTATTGTTTCTAATGTATTAATGTTGCACCTTGTGTTTTATACAGGAGTACAAGATTCAAGGGTTTCCAACAATAAAGGTGTTTGCACCTGGCAAGCCTCCAATAGATTACCGAGGAGCAAGAGATGCCAAAGGCATTGCAGAATTTGCACTCCAACAGGTTTGCTTAAGAAATTATGAAGTTCTCTTTCTGTAGGTTGCCTGTTTTTCTCTTTTGACTTATGACTTTGATTATTCTGCTGCAACCTCTGGCATCATTTCTCTTCTTGTAGTGAATCTGTGAAATTCCCAAGTATCAAAACAAGAAAGCAGTAAATTTATTTGCACATAAATACTTACTATGTGTAAAAGAATGAAAAGAACAAGGGAAAACATAAGTTTTTTCATGGGCTATCTACACTGTGTACTGAATAATCTCTGTAATAGGACATATAGTGATGGCCAAAAATGCATTCGTATTTGCAGTAATTAGTAAATCAGATCAACTCAACAAAGCCCTTTCCCTATTAAATGAGGCTAGCAACGTAAATCCTATCCTGCCACTTCACTTTATCAAGGACTTTATTTATTTTTATTTACTCAACTCAACTAAAGCCCTGTTCCACCTATTCAACTATGTAAATCCTTTTTTTCCATTCCACTCTATTCAGTGCTAATATCCATTGTTAAGTTATGAGCCCTTAAATCGTTTCTCATTACTTCAACAGTTCAACCCATGCCCTTTTTGGTAGTCCTATCCTATATTTCTTTTCTAGTTATTTCAATCCTTGTCCTTTTAACCTTTCCCCTTCTCTTTTATTTTTAGGGATCATTGCCCGGTGGCTGGTGTAATGCTGAAGTTTGTATCCACTCCACCCCCTCCATGACCCCAGTAGCTAGGACCAACAATGGGTAATGTTTCTTGTAATACTTTTTGGAATCTTCAAGGTGCCATTGCTTGGTGTAATGGTAAAAACTTGGGCTGGCATCTGTGAGAATGTGGAAAAAGTTTGAGAGCAGCCAATTTGTGTGAAAATGTTGAAGTTTAAGTCCATATCCAGTCTACCCCCTCCCCCCACATGACTCTAGATAGCTGGGACCAACATTGGGTAATGGCTTTTTTACTTTTAGAGCCATCAAGTTGCACCAAATCATTTTTTTTCTCGTGTACTTGTTCATATTGTATTTTTTTTTCTTAAAAAGTAGCCATATGCATTGTATTTAGGTGACAAGACCACTTTGGTCAGCATTCCCCCATCATGTAACCTATTTGCGCTATCCTTAAATTCAATGAATGCTAATTTTTTGTCCTTCTTAATCTTTCCACCTATCTATCTTAACATCATTATCTTGGATACACTTTGATTCTTAAAATCACTTTTTTCTTCTTTTAGTTGCCCAACTTTCTACTAGGGCATCCACTTCTTAATTGTACCATCAACATCATCAATCTTGACCATTTTTGTAATAGAAATAGAGATTTCTTTTGAAAGATAAAGTATGATTTATATTAACTGAAAATGTATCAAAAGATTACATCAAAACCCCTACACACCAAGGTGTACAAAGGGTTGAGAATACAAAAAAAAATGTACAAATTACAAAAAAATGCAAATGTTGACCATTCATTTACAGCCCATAAAAGAATTCTTTTCCACTGATTAATAAACTGCTGCTGATACATGCCATTTTCAGGAATTCAGGGTCTTGGCCCATTCAATCAAGCACCTCTCCCTCTTCCCAGTCAATCTTTCTATTTCTGTGGCTAGTTGTCTGAAAGCTGGATATTCAAAACCATAGAGATGATTTTAATGAGGCTAAAAAATGCATGCAATTTTCAGGTTCAAAACCAAAGGGATAAAGCCCCTTGAAAAAAAAAATCTATTTAGGTTCAACTGTTGATAAAAATCCTAAAATGAAGAGAATTTTGTATTTTATATGTATACACAAAACAAACTTTGTAATTAATGCCTAATGAAGTATTGCAGTAAATAGTTGATGAGATTAATGGAAACTAGACCCATGGTCCTAAGGGAGATTTTCATTGCTTAGCCAACCCCAATTAGCAGGAATCAGATCCAACATCTTGGACAATTTGAGTAATGCATTTGAACCAGTAGTTAACTGGGTCCAGTTCATCTTTGTTAAAAATGTACCAGATAGCATATTTAACTAACAGATGATGTAGAAGAGGTAGTTGTATGGGGGCTAGGTGGGCTGGAAATTTAAAGGAATAACTGAATAAGATGAATTGTTGCTTTAGTAGAGTTTATTGGAGCTATCTAAGAATATCAATTTGACTTGTAAATGTTTTAAGTCAGATTGAACAACTTGTCAGCTTCTCCCTCAACCAACGAAATTTGCAAGAACAACAGAAGTAGGTCTAGGTCCTAGGAATGGAATTTTTGCATGAAATTTTCTGCAGACAGAGAATATTAGAAAAAGGAAAATAAATCTAGAATACTACTAGGGTGATTCTAGGATAGGGGTGATCATGGGCCAGGTTCTGGGCCTTTGGGTTGCAAAACATTGTATTAAGTATATACAATATATAATATAAAATAAGACATGTACGGGTATATGTATGTATGTGTGCGTTTGTGGATACAAAACCCAGGCCCAAGCCCAGAAATTTCTAGGCTGGACTATAAAGGATCACCCCTATTCTAGGACCATCTTGATGCCACATCAGCAGGTTGGATGAAACCCATCTCAACAGGACCCAAATCTGATGTATATAGTAGGGTGGGGTCTAAATGTGGCTGTCTGAACCCAACCCCTTTCAAATGTATGGGAAAATGGGTTGAGGTGGTGTCTGAAGTCTTTCTATCTTGCCTTTCTTAAGGTTTTACCTGTTCAGTATTTGAGATTTTCTCTTAGTTTTATGTTAATCTGGAGCATTATCCATGAAATGGTGGGATGGCTAACACCCTTTAGTCTTGTACAGATTAAGGCTCTTTTGAAAGAACGTGTTCATGGAAAGGCATCAGGAGGCTCAAGTGAGACATCTAAATCAAGTGCATCAATAGAACTGAATTCTAAAAATTTTGACGACATGGTACTTAAAAGTAAAGATCTTTGGATGGTGGAGTTCTTTGCACCCTGGTAAGTGTTCCTCAGATAACAAACGTGTGATGTGTCTTTTGCCAGTCATGGCTTTGATTATTTTTTGTGGTCCATTCATATATAGAGTATTGCTAATCCCTTAGATTCATTTCTTGCATGCCTTACAAATGCATTGTCATTCCAAGTGGGTCCCCTAACTGTCATTACAGGTGGGTCCCATTGCAGTATTGCAGATGTATGATGTAAGATGGATTTGTAAAGCATACAAGAAAAAAAGAACTTGCATGCTTAGTATTTTCATCCATTCATGATTGCCAAATGAGTAATTCAATTTTTTAATATTTCAAAAGATGAGGCATTACCTACTCATTCTATCAATTGTTTGCTTGCTGATATAATAAATGATTGAATATGGAAAATTCTATAATTGTTCTATGTTAAACTAGAAACTGAGCACCTAGGACAAAAAAAAAAAAAAAAGAAAAGAAAAAACCGAGTAAAATCTAATGCTTACTTGTATGAAGATATAGATTATGGAATATCACCAAATTAGAGTCCATTAATTGGAACTAAAATAAACTTAATTTCTACTCTCAAGAGTTTAATTTTTTTATGGTAAATAATAAATTGTATAGATAGTTGATAGACTATTAGTGTGTGTAGTCCCAGCCCCACACTTTATTTTACTGTTTATTTCTTTGTGTTATAGTTATGGTAGTTGGGCCGGTTGGGCCATATTTATTTTCTTTTGTTTTAACTAGGGTTATTAGAGTAATTCTACTTCTTGTAAAGTCATGAATATAAATAAGATTTAGTGGGGCGGATAGAAGGATCTAACCGCACCCTTTAGAGGTAAATTAGGTTATGTGATTCGAGACACAAAGAAGCCAGCCAAGGATGACATATCACATCCCAAATTGGTTCAAGAGAACTATTTGGTGATGACTTGGCTATGCAACTCTATGCAGCCTCACATCAGCCGAAACTACTTATGGGCAAAAACAGCCAAAGAGATTTGGGACAACATGAAGGAGATATACTCCCAACCTCTTAATGTTGCTAGAGCTTATGAACTGAAGTGTGAAGTGAATAATCTCAAGCAAGGGGAGAAGCCAGTCTCAATGTACTTTGCTACTCTAAAATCCCTATGGCATGAAATTGATCACTTGGAAACTATTGAGTGGGAAAGTCAGAGGGATGCAGCAACGTATAGAAAGTCAATTGAAACAAATAGAGTGTTTGAGTTCTTATCTGGTCTGAACTCGGATTTTGACATTGTAAGACAACAACTTCTTACTAGGGAGAGTGTGACATTATCTCAAGCCTACTCATTGGTTCACAGTGAAGAGAGTAGGAGAAAGGTTATGTTACCGCTTCGGCCTATGTAATCGGCCTTAGCAGCAACAAAATCTAAGTTTGGAGGGGAGAAGGAAAGGGAAATGAAGAAGGAAAATAAAAGAGACATTTTTTGTGATCATTGTAAGAAGCCAAAACATGCTAGGGACACTTGTTGGAAGTTGCATCCCCACCTGATGCCAGTGTGACTCAAAAACAAGAAGGGAAGTGCTAATGTGGCAGTTATTACAAACAGTGCATCCACTTCCAGCACAAGGACCACATCCTTAGATGCCTTAGTTGTTGTGCAGGCTGCTTTGACACAATTAGAGAATGAAGTTGGTATTTCTGGGTCATCATCTCAGCCTTCAGCTACTACATCTTCTACTCTCACTTCAGCCTTTTCTCACTCAGGTACAAAAGCTACAGCATATCATACTTCAGCCCTAGGTAACACTAGACCCTTCTGGGTAATAGATTCAGGTGCTTCTGACCATATGACCAGTTTATCTACCTTGTTTACCACCTATTGTCTATCATCTGGCAGAGACAAAGTATCTATTGTTGATCGCTCCCTTGTGCCTATTTCTAGCAAGGGAGACATCAAACTGTCTGATGCCATCTCCCTATCCTCAGTTTTGCATGTTCCTAAGCTTAGTGCTAACTTGCTTTCAGTTACTAGTATTACTATGAATCAAAACTGTTTAGTGACCTTTTTCCCCTGATCGTGAGACGAATGGAGTTTACCTGCTTGAGCATCCACATGGGAAGGAGAGTGAAGTTGGGAGATTATTTGTTTCTCATCCTTTGAGTGAGATTATCCTTTGGCATAACCGATTAGGTCATTTGTCTTTTGGATCTTTGAAGAGTCAGTTTCCAAATTTGTTTGAGTCAGTCCAAGTGTCTAGTTTGAGGTGTGAAAGCTGTGAACTTGCAAAACATTGTAGATCAACTTATTCTTTGAGCAATAAAAGAAGCAATCTTCCTTTTGAAATTGTGTATACAGATGTTTGGGGACCATATCATATTCCTGCTATGGGGGGTACAGATACTTGTTATTTGTTGATGATTATACCCGTTTCTCATGGGTTTACTTTATGCACTCTCGAGATGAGGTCCCCTCTTCGACCCAGGCTTTTCATCAGATGGTACTGACCCAATTTGAAATTAGGATCAAAACTCTCAGATTCGATAATGCCAAGGAGTACTTTGCAAAACCCTTGGCATCATATCTCCTAGATCATGGAGTCATTCATCAGAGCACTTGTCCCTGTACACCTTAGTAGAATGGGGTTGCTGAGAGAAAAAAATAGACATATCTTGGAGGTAAGCCAGAAGCATCATGTTCAACTTTAATGTTCCCATACACTTCTGGGGAGATGCAATCCATATAGTTGTTTACCTTATTAACATAATTCATTTATGGGTTCTAGACATGAAAATACCATTCAATCTTCTGTATCTAGACAAGGACTTGTTCACTATTCCCCTTAAAACTTTTGGGTGTACTTGTTTTGTTCAAATCCTTGGACCTCATCGCTCCAAATTTGATCCCAAAGCTGCTAAATGTATCTTCCTTGGGTATGCACAAAATCAAAAGGGGTATCGCTGTTATGAGCCTATTTTGGGGAGACATTTTGTGTCCATGGATGTCACCTTTTTTGAGGATATGCCCTACTATCATAAGGCTTCTCCTCAAGGGAAGAGTAGTGAGGAAGGGATTTCAGCCCCAGAAGTTCCATTACCTATTCCGGTCACTGAGGGGGAGTGTCGTGAAGAGGGCTGTTAGAAGTGCAAGGAGTTGAGAGTGTATCACAGACAATGGTGGAGGCAGGTTGATTCCCGTCCTCAGCAATCCAAGCCGATCCCAACACCTTCTACAACTCCAGGTCCAGGCACTACGCCTATTGTTGTTTCCATTGTTGCAGATACTTTGCCTAACACTGTTGAGCCTCAGCCTTCTCCTTCAGACGACCTTGATCTCCTAATTGCAATTCATAAAAGGAAGCGCCGTTGTACTTCATCCACTACTCATTGTATCTCCCAGTTTCTTTCAGTAGAAGATCAAGACTGTAATCAGTCTTGAATCCTAATAGGTTTTAGGTTTACAAAATAGAAGAAAAGTGTGAGAAAGAAGAGAGAATAGAAGA